AACATAGCCGGCAATAAAGTAAAGTAAAATGGAAGATCTGGCTAATTGCCAGCTAGTAACTTCCCCCTACCCCGACCAGGGCCTCGGCCTGTCGGGAGCTAAATTTAAAAAATCAGAATCCACCACGTCAAACTTCCAGTACCTTATCATGCAACAATGTGACGACGTATCCCGTGAAAACATGAGCAGACTCTGTCGGAAAATTAAAAAAAAGCTTTGGTGACGCCAAGCCACGCCATTTACGCTTCGAAAACTTTAAACTTCAAAGGCGTCTAACGTCTTTAATTTTTAACTAAAAAGGATCTAACAGAGAGAATAAATGCGATTCTAGTGCGACTTTCAAATAGTAATCGGGTTTTGGGAAATTTTGGATTTTGATCATTTTGAGAAACTGATCTTGAAGTTGAAGTAAGTAGTCAAAAGATATAAAAATATGATTTTATCGTAGAGTAAGCTAAAAACAAATCCAAAATATATTTTCGGTGCTGGATCTTCTTCAGTGGAATGACAAACGACAATAATTTGGATTTGTTTTTAGCTTACTTTAGCCTCGCCGGCACAGGCCATTTTGAGTCCTTCGACGGCACAAGGGGGGGGGGCGGGTGGGTGGGGGTATGACCCCCTCGCGTTTGGCCCCTGATGGAGCTAGAGCTTCGCGGAAAGAACGAGCGTGTTGCCCGTTACGAGAGGAAGCCAATGAAATTAGAGGTTTTCCGTGGTGCTGATCACGAATATCGTGTTAGTTTTGATCACAGATAATGTCGTTCAGCGTTTAGACCATGTCTGGTCAGGTCAGGTCAGGTCAACTGGTAGGGATCGTGACTGGTATTCGTAGTACCTGTCATCCGCCTCTGACAGCTTCGTAACATGTAACGAAGGCATCAAAACTACTTCGTAAATGTTCAAATGGTTGCTAAATTTGAATTCTGCTAAAAAAAAAAACTAGCCTAAAAACATGTAAAACTGGAAAAAGTGAGCCGAGGTCACCAAAGGTCAATGACCTGACCTGACCTTCAGATGACCTTGACACCCACCCTAATGGATAGGAGCAACATCAAATCACATGTTTGAACGTTGAAACCACGAAAAGCTTGCAAACGCGCGGCTAATGCGAGCCGACATACGCCGAATCGTGATTCCGGCCAAAAATTGTCTCGGAAAAGAGGTCACTGGTCAAAGGTGATATGGGTCAGGGTCATAAAATTTTCAGGGTAGGTGTAAAATTGATTAACCCGGCCGGGCCCGGGGGGTAATCCCAACCACCGCAGCCCGGGGGGGGGCGTTTTTCGCCCCCCCTGTCTAGCTCCGTAAATAAGGGAGCTACGGAAACAAAAGCGATAACAAACGAAAAGTTCTTGCGAGACGATTCTAAAGCAGCTAAAATTTTTGACCTCAGGTCAATTTTCAAGGTCAGAGGTCAAGGTCAAAGGCAAAAACCAGCACATGTGTAGTGATCTCAAAATAAGCCTTCTAGAGGACGGCAGGCGGCATCAAACCGGCAAAATTGGGTGTCAAACGAAAGAAGAGAATCTGAGGATTCCGAAAATGTGTTCAAAATCAAAGATCAAGGTCAAGATCACGCTCAAAATTGACCTCAAACTTGGCACTTTTTCGCACATCTTGTGTGCTAACTTTCAAGATGTTTTGAAATGTTTTGAGGCTTATCAGTTCCCTATTTGTGGTTCCTCTTACGATACAAGGCTTCTCAAAGGTCAAGGTCACTGAAGAGTATCCCTGCTACCCAGCTAACAATTTGCCGTTGTTACAACGTCGTTTAAACGTTGTCAAATGGTTACCACAACGTTCCGATTTGTCGTTGTGACAACGTAATTTTGTAGACTCCAGACAACGGCGTGACAACGTCATCCGACCATGCATAGACATAGACATAGACATAGACATGTATTTGCGACCCTTCCACATCCATGGTGGCTATTCCGAGACGCGCGTCAATAAAATAGAAACTTGATATACATAAAACACACCTGAGGTAAAATGAACACATTTACAATGCAGCCGGGTACTCATGAAAGGCGATTGTACCACACACACAAACTGTTCAACACCCGCTCTGACATTCGCCGGCAGCACCTAACCAGTGTCACGCAGCAGCCAGTCAGTCACTCGAGTCTTAAATCTGGTGATTCCCACTTCGCGAATGTCTTGCGGAAGTTTATTGTATGCATCAATGCCGCTGAAATATAGTCTGCGAGCACCTGCGTTTGTTTTCACACTCGGCCGCTGCAGCAGACCGCGTATCCTGGTGCTGTGCTGATGGTTACTTTTGACCAGGTGTTCAACGATGCCGACCGGGGCTCCAGTGGTGCGCACCCTATGTATGAGGCACATACGATGATACAGTATCAGCTGTTCGGCATTGAGCCACCCGAGCTGCTTGTACTTCGCCGAGATGTGATCGTACTTGCGTACGCCACATACTACCCGAGCACAGAAGTTCAGCAGTTTTTGAATCCTATGTCTCTGAGCCTGTCCGTAAGTGCCGTAAATAGATATACAGTATCGTATATGAGATATGACCAGACACATCACAAGTAATTCGATGACATCGGGCGGCAGGCAGTGTTTAACATGGGACAAAGCGAGTAACATGCCAGTGCATTTTCTGACGAGCTGATCAATGTGAGAATCGAAAGTCAGATATCTGTCCATAACCAGTCCTAGATTTTTCGCTGTCCGGCACTCGGAGATAACTGACCCGCCGAAATTGAGCCGAACTTCTGGAAAGTTTCGCAGCATAGCTTTTGTTCCAAAAACCATCAACTGTGTTTTGTCAGCGTTCACTTTCATAGAATGCGTCGAGAACCATGTCGATAACGCGTACAGGGTCTGCTCCATCCTACCAATCAGCGAATGAATGTCCTGCTTGCGGCCCGAGACTAAAACCTGTGTATCGTCCGCGTATTGAAAGATGGATGCTCCGTGAGAATGCAGAGCGAGGTCATTTGAAAACACTGAGAACAGCAGTGGGCCGAGCGATGTTCCCTGATAGACTCCTGTGGTAATGGGCAGGGAAGTTGAGAATTTAACATTCCCATCACAATCCCTCGCCTTAACCTGTTGGGTGTGTCCACGCAGGTAGTTCTCAAACCACGTAGTGTCGATGTTGTAAAGTCTGAGTTTCTCTAAAAGTACTCCATGATCGATCACGTCAAAACAGCGCGTGCATTTGAATGTCATCACAACGTTTCGGTAACGTGACCGTGACGTCCCAAAACCGTTCTCACAACGTCCCGCCAACGTTATGAAATGTTTTCTGTAACGTGCCAACAGTGTTTCTGGAACGTTGTCACCACGTTTCCACAACGTGACTACAACGAGTATAGAACGCTTTGGCAACGTCTCTGCGACGTTTCTGAACGTTTTTATCACGTGCGCACCACGTTGCCGCTACTTCGTATTGCCGTCCCTGCGACCCCGAGTAAACGTCCTAAACATTTTCGCAACGTCCTCTCAACGTGTTCGCAACATACTCAGAACGTGTTTCCGGCGCTCTCTTCCTGTTCTCTAGACTTGTAAAAAGGCATGTAAGAAGTGTATATTTCAATACATCACACAGGTCAATTTACAAAAAAAAAAAACGACAGCGGCGGCATCGGTGATGGGGCATGGGGCCCAGGGGCGCCCCCATGGGTGCGTGGGACGGAATTGGGTTCTACCGGCTCTAGCGCTAGCCGCTAGCACGCCAGAACTGGTGGAAGTTCACTTCTTCACTAACCCTCGCTGGGAGGATCACTCGGCGGACCGTCAGGCACCGGCTCATTTGCGGCCTCGATGTCCCTCGGCAGCTGGCAGTGCCTGACCAGACGGTCAGCACGCCCCCCGTTCCGGTCGCAGGTTCCGGACAGCCACTTCGCTACCGCCTTGCCGACAGTAGGCCTGCCACAAGGCGCGCTGATGAGTTGCAGGACGTCTGCGGGAAGACATGAGGGAAAATCAGACATATTCAATTCATGACAAAAATCACAAAAATACCTTCACCACTTCCCGTAACAGTGCGACAGGCTAGATCAAACATGTCAACACCTTAGAGGCTAGAGCTACAATGAACTATAGCCTAGACCGCACGATATTACAAGGCACAATCTTGCAAATGCTACTCGTAAATGGTACTTTGACTTACCAGTCAGAACAACAATCACATCAAGCGCAGACAACTGGCGCTATCTTTCATCTTCCAGCTACCTCAGCCGCGCCCGCCGCTGCGCCGGTCCTCACTGCTTGCTCGGGCCGCGCAGACTGCGGCTCGGCCGGCTGGCTCTGAACGCCGGCCGGTGACACTGACGTCACGGCCCCTCCGGCGAGGTCAGGGCGGCCGCCTCCGCTCGACACTGGCTGCCGGCGTGGCTCGCTGGCAGCCGCGGATAACAGCCGCGTTTACATAGGGATAGTTGCAAGCCTCTAGCTCCGCCTGTGATGTTGCAAAACATGCCAATGACGCTTTGCAATTTACACAATGATCTCATCTAAATATACGAAAAGTACTAGGGGAGAGTGGGGCAAAGCGGCCACCTTAACGTTTCTTTTGATGCCGATGCTTAATTTTTGAACTTAGGAAGGTTCTTTCTATACCAATACGATCCCTATTCAATTGCCTTTCATTTCAACCACATTTCATATCTGAAGGCGTACACATATATAAGTTATTGGAAAAACGTTGGACCTATGCATTTTGGCCGCTTTGCCCCAACCCCGGGGCAAAGCGGCCACCGGTGACTACTTCTCTCGGATATGATAAATCTAATACTTGCCTCATGTTTCACTAGCATTATGTTACGGTATTGAGGTTTAAACGAGAATGTAAATTTATATAGCCATTTGTCAACTGTAAACAAAGATGATTGATTGGAAATCGATTGATTGGAATGAAGTAAACATTGATGGAAAAATATGAAATCTGCATACTGACAATATTGATAATTCAACGGACAATTAAACAATACTGAACTAACAACGCTGGACAATGGCTAAGACAAAACCCATGACGGTACAGCTATAGCGTGTATTATTCAATTGCTCAGCGTGGAAACAACGCATGGTTAGAAATCACACAGGCAATTGATAAACGCGTTAGTGTCGTCTTCTTCAACGTTATTGCAGGCGTCACGTCCCCAACGCTCGCACTACTTGGACTTGGATTGCGAGAAAGGCGAGTCGCAATACAGACAAACTAAATCGGCTCATCTTCGCTGTGTCGTCCGTGCTCATTTCGCACTTTTTCGAGCCTTTCTCTTCTTTTTAGGCTCCTCTCCGTCAGTCGTTCTCTTCTGTGATGTAGAACACCCAGCCAAGGATTCACTGTTCGGCCTCGGTGCCTTTCTGACAGTGTTCTTCTTGTCCCCTGCTGACTGTCGCGTCTTTGTTCTGTTTCTGATGTCTTCTTCTAGCTCATTTTTGTACGGAGAATCGGTTAGCACACATGTTTTCCCCTTCTTTCGACCTTTTTTTCTTATATTTGAATTTTGGTCCACCTGCGGCAATGGAATTATGGCTGCTGGTGGCGAGTACAGTGACTTTGGCTCCTCCACAGGTTCCGTCACAGGTTCTTCCGTCTGTTCTACTGGTTCGACTGCTTCTTGTTCCAGAGCTGCTTCGATTCCGACAGGTCGAACCTGCGACGCCTCCACAGCTTCACCCGTGTCTGAAGCCTGATCTTGATTGCAGCCCGCTGTGGTATTCTGTTCTGCGTGATCCGGGACTTGAGGTGCTGGCCGTTCTGTGGTCTGTGCTGCCATGAAGTCGTCATCTCCGAACACATGTCGACTTGTCGGGTAGATTCCTGTGACAGCGAACCCCTTGACGGCTGACGTCATCGTCGCTGCCCGTGTGTAGGCAGCTCCGATCAGCTCCCCCATCTCGTACAGGGTTATGACCTTTCCAGGATTGTTCCTCAGCCATGTCCTCTGTTGTTCTCCGAAGTACGTGCTCAGCGGCAGCATCAGAGTACGATCTAGCGGCTGCAGGCGGTGTGATGTGTGGGGAGGAATGGTGAGCATCACAACCCCTGCCTCCCGACAGAGCTCGATGGCTTCAATGCTCTTCGTGTGGCTAGTATGGCCGTCTAGAATGAGAAGAACAGGATCATCTTTGGATGGATGGGTGCATGCGATGAAGTGTTTGAGCCACTCGATGAAAAGATCCATCTGCATCCATCCAGAAGGGTGATAGAGAGCCAGGTATCCAGGAGGCAGACCTTTCTCAAGCTGCTGCCTCGATCGCCTCCGCGGGAATATTACGGCTGGGGGGACGTAGTGCCCAGCAGCGCTGAAGCACATGACGCCTGTCACCAGTGTCCCCCTCTCCGCTGAAGTCAGCTGGCCCACCTGCTTTTTTCCTTTCTGAGCCACGACCTTCCCTTGTTTGGTTGATACAGTGCAGAATGCCGTCTCGTCAACATTGTAAATTTTCGTGGGACCAAGCTTGTGCTTGTCTAAAACGGACTCTAAGTTATCAAAGAAGGCCCCAACTGTCACTCGGTTGAAACCAGCTGCCCTGGCGGCGCTCGTCGCTTCCGGGGTTCGCAAAGTGATCTGAGGGTTCCTCTCAAAAAAGCCCTGCGCCCAGGCTTGTCCGGCCAATTTTGACTGTTTGCAAAACGGGTGGTCTATATTGTTTCTTTCTGCAAACTCGAACGCAAGCTTCTGTAAATCCCTCAGCGAGAGGCCGAACATCATTGACTCGAGGTGTAGTAAGTGGTCCATGAGATCTTTTTCCTGCTCAGCGGTAAAAACAGATTTGAAACGGCCTAAGCCTTTCTTTGCTGCTTGGTCGACATCTCCGTTGGCAGCGACCTTCAGCCGTCGCCGAAGTGTCGTGCGAGGAACATTGAACATTTTTGTTGCCGAGCTAACCGTCAATTCCTTTTTCTTTACAGCTTCGATGGCCTTTCTCATGGAAACTTCATTCCACGCTTGCTGGGCGGTCTTCCGTTGATACTTTCTCACCATCTTGGATCTGCAAGGAAAATGAATTGTGAAAACAGTGAATAAGTAGGTAATATGGGAATGACAGGTTATATGTGTTCAAAAATCACGTCAAAATTACTTAAAAACAAATGCAAGCAATTTTTAATCGCATCAGAATTGCGAAATTCAGAACTGCTCATGTCTTTATCATTTCATCCAAATCAATCAGAGCAAGTAGCACGCGATACTCAAATAGGTAGTTCTTTCCAACTTGGCAATACAATGTCAGTGAGCTATCGCATTACTTCAGCTCGAAATAAACTTTTAAATTCGAAAACACTACGGTTTTCTTCATTTTTATGTGCAGTATTGTCTTACATATCATCTTTCCATTTCATTGACTTTGGCGCCTAAGTCGTGTTGCATAGCATTTGATTTGGCTGGCCTCTCTGAGTTCATTGGTGGCTTTCCCAACTCAATAACTCGATTTGATTTATAGTTATTGCCGAGAAGCTCCAATAACCGTAATGACATACCTATAATTATGACGTCGCTAAGGTCAGCAATGCAAAAGTTGAGTATCGAGCCTTGCAATGAGTGTATGAAATCACGATTTCCTGTTGTTGATTCATCGATCATTTGGCGCGAAAATAGCAGTTTCAATATTTCCCAATTGATTTATATCATGCTGAGCTGACTGACGGCGTCGCAGAGCTGCGACACTTAATGAATTTGCACAGGTTCATTTATGACGTCATATGTCGCTGACCTAACTTGACCTTAAAATGCGGTTGATGCCTCACAAGATTTGGCTTGAATCCAAAAGTTAGGTGTCAGCTTTCAGCTCTATCGCCAGCCTGGCGGATCCAGGCTTGCGTTTTGGGGGGGGCCAACTCATGCAGGAGCCAAACCTAGGGTACCCCCAAATCCTGTTTTCTCATCGGATTTAGGCCACTTATTTTTCGTCACAGCCCTGACACTATGAATATTTTTTTTACTAAAAATAAAAAATATATAAATGGTAGCCCACCCGACCCATGCCTTTATATTACTTTGTAAACACTTACCATTGCTTTTGTTGACCAGTTAACCCGCTTCGAGTCAGTGCTTGGGTCCCTTTGCGGGCCGGGAGGTGGTAAAACACCCCCTGTCTAACTCGGCTCCTGGGCCACGCACTGATTGAACTATGTTTCATTATCGTTTGGGGGAGGGGGCAAACGGGCCACTTTAGGCCTCTGGGAAGGGGGCATGACCCTCAATGCCCCCTCCCTGGATCCGCCAGTGTAAGAGACCATTGGAGCTGCAGTTGGGTACCTCAGACGTCAGGGTACGCCCTCAGATGTATAGGACTCGAGTGGAGACCTCTTATGCTCTAGTGGACTGAAAGGACCCAAAGGAGCCCGTCTAGGGCTCCCGGAGATAGACGTGGGCCCTCAGGAGCCCGCCAGAGCCCCCAATGAGGGATAAGTGAGGGATACCAAGTGCCTGCAATTGCATATTGCATAAGCCATAACGTATCAGTGGCAGATCCAAGGGGGGCCACATGAGTCATGACCCCCTTGGTGCCCGGGGGCACCACAGGCCTGTCAGGGGCACCATCGACCTAGCAGGGGCACCGGGCACCACCAGCCCGCCAGGGGCACCACAGGCCTAGCAAGGGCACCACGGGCCTGTGAGGGGCCCCACAGGCTTGTCAGGGGCACCCCAGGTCTGTCAGGGACACCAGAGACCTGCCAGGGGCACCACCGGCCTCGCAGGGGCACCATGGGTCTGTCAGGGGCACCAGAGGCCTAGCAGGGGTACCATAGGCCTTACAGGGGCACCACCGGCCTTGCAGGGGCACCTTGGGCCTGTCAGGGGCACCATAGTCCTGTCAGGGCCCAGGGGCACCAGCGGCCTAGCAGGGGTATCACAGGCCTGCCAGGGGCACCACCGGTCTAGCAGGGACACCACCAGCCTCGCAGGGGCACCATGGGCCTGTCAGAGGCCCCATCGGCCTCGCAGGGGCACCACCGGCCTCGCAGGCATCACGGCATCACGCAGGGGCACCTTGGGCCTGTCGGGGGCATCACGGGTCTGTTGGGGGCACTTTAGGCTTGTCAGGGGCACCACAGTCCTGTCAGGTCCCAGGGGCATCAGCAGCCTAGCAGGGGCACCCTAGGCCCGCCAGAGGCACCACAGGCCTGCCAGGGTCCAGGGGCACCACGGGCCTGCTGTCAGGGGCACCTCAGGCTCCCGTGCCCCCCCCCCCCCTGGATCCGCCAGTGATGCCACACCACGCGAAACACCGCCAACTACCAGCTGCCGCGCCATAAACACGTGCCAACCAGTCTTTTTTTGAAGGTGGCGACTCCGCTCGCGCGACTTTTGACTGACCCTCACTGCTACCATATTGCCTCCATATTATGCTGTGGAAAGCTTTTCTTCACCAAGTGGCTAAAAACCTCCATCAAGGTGTATTTTCTTAGCAATTTTTCTGACGTTTTGGGGGGGGCCAAACAGGCCACTTTAGGCCTTTGGGGGGGGCCATGGCCCTAAATGCCCCCCCCCCTGGATCCGCCAGTGCGCCAGCGCCGCCTGAACAATCGCAAATATAACATCCAAGGGGGAGGGGCGGCACCCGCCCCTCCCCCTTCTCAGGCGGCAAGGGTTAACATTAAGTCCACGCATAAAAGGGAACCCCTGCAAGCGGAGTAAAGTTAACATACAAAGTGTCTTTCTGTCATGCGGGTGGCCACTTTGCCCCGGCCACTTTGCCCCGCGCGCACCTTCCGAGAAAACAATATTGCAGCTCGGTTGTCAATTGGACGAACCACATTATGATTGGCAGGAAAGATGCACGATATTCACAGAACACATGAATGAAAACGTTTCAATAAATTTCCAAATAGTTATGGAATAAATGAACACTCAAAAAGTGGAAAAATAATTACTAACCTGAGGAAAAACTCTTCTTCGTGTGTCACGCGAAAATGGCGACGGACCGGAAACTGCAGTGTGGCTCATTCGAACGGCCGCGAAGGGAACTATAATTCACACCCGTCAACTAGAGATGACGCCACCTGTCAAGGGCTGACGGATGGGGTGGCCGCTTTGCCCCGGGTGGCCGCTTTGCCCCACTCTCCCCTACATTAAAATTATCGCAGAAGAAGTGAGCAACAGCCCCGACAAAAATGCTATGTAACCGGGCATATTGTTTGGGTGGCAGGGAGCCGGATTTGTGCCGGACTTGGCGGTCCGAAACCATACTAACTCCGGGGCGGTGTTTCACGGGACGCTGCTACCACGCTGCTATCAAATTGCGCGAGCTGACGTCACACTTGTGGTAGTGTTGGGGCAATGGGCCTGTTGATGTTTCCATGGAAACCCAATTTGACACGTGTAAAAGCAGCGTGCTGCTATCACCGGTGAAACAGGGCCCGGAGCGCTACGGCAAAGACTGGCTAACCGGAGTCACCATCAAATTAATAACACCGTGTTGGCGACCACCAGCTGACAACGTGAACAGTCCTAGTGTTAAAACATGTCAAATATAACGATGAAAACTGAAAATGCGCATTGGAAGTCAAAGGAAATGCATTATATGGCCATATATGTCACCATGCATTAGCAAAATATAATGTTGCAAGTGCGCGGTTGCTGCAACGTACCAATAAAACGTTGTCACAACGTTTCACCACAACTTTAGGACCAAACCATGGCTTCACAACGTTCAGAACGTTGCTAGAACGTAATTAAAACGTAATTTCGCAACTTACCGAAACACGACGTTGTGACAACGTTGTACTAACGTTTCCTGTTAGCTGGGTAGAGGCTATTTCACTAATTCAAGTTAGTAATAATACATAAGACAATTTTGCCATCCGAAAGCTCTAAATGAAGGCTTAGAGAAAAATAGATGCCAGATTCGTGATCAGCGGGTACAAATCCATCATAAACGACCTTTCATGTGTCAAGGTCAACCAGAGGTCATTCGAGGTCACATGAGGTCAACATAAAACTTGACCTTTTCCGAACAAAATATATATCATTCGACGCGGCTTGACAAGGCGAATGCGATGGTACCACTGCCGTAGCTCTAGGACCATTTTTGTCCAAGGTATTTGCGAAAAACTAAAACCACATTTCGGGGTCGTTGACCTGACCTCTGACCTTAGGTCATCAAAACTATTTTTTTCTCTAGGTCAAACGCTACACAACCGTGCTCGTAATTTGTCTTTATCTCTAAAACTCTATTTTTAGCAGCTATTTGAAGTTTGCGTCTGTGTGTGTGGGGGGGGGGGGGGAGGAGACAACGAAACTTCAATGTCACCTTGGGGGAGCCCTAATACCCCTCTAAAGAAATTATTTGCAGTTTTGTGCTTATTTCACCTTGCTGAACCATTCCCTGCTCTTAACCCGCGCCCCGTAGGGCTATCGGCGGACCCTACCACCCGTAGGGGGGGGGCGTTCCCCCCCTAACATCTCGGAAATTTACCGGCCGATTTTCAAAATTAAAACGGCGTTCGATAGCCCCACCAGGGCTATCGAACTACCTTGTGACCAAATTTCATTGACCTAGGTCAAACCGATGACGTCACAGGTTAGGTCAAATGTCGGATTTTCACCGTTCACAGGCATTTCAAGAAATGTGTTGTGAAATCGAGTAAATTGGTAAGTTATTGAAAACCATCGATGGTACATTGTTCGTCAAACACATACTTCGCTATCTGAGGTCACTGATACCAGGTCAGGTCCCAGAGGTCAGGTCACTGGGGGTCACAATATGAAAGTGTCGTGTGATACATGTTTTATGGTTCATTTTACATGACAAATGCGATTATGTGGGTCAGGCAGCCTTTGGGGCCAGCTTAGGTCACGTTTTGGTGAAGGTCAGGTCAAGTTCAGGTAAAATTAGGTCAAATTTCAAAGTTGATATTTTGCATAAAATGGGTATTGATTCGATGCAGCTCGTCACGGGGAGCCTAATGGTGGTCTTTGTTTTGCTCTACGTGGTCTAGAATAGGCGAATGCGATGGTACCACTGCCGTAGCTC